ATTTGGGATTTGGGATTTGGGATTTTGGCATTTGGGATTTCGGCATTTGGATTTTGAATTTGGGTGGCAGGTATATGTACAACTAAAATTTAATTTTGATATTTATAAATTAAGAAAGGGTCTGACAAAATGACCTAAACCCCGGGGGTCTAGAATAAATGACCTAAACCCTGGGGTCTAGTTTAAGTTTTCTCATTATTTTATTTGTTAATATTTATCACATGATGATCATGTGTTCCTGATTTCGGTTTTCGAAAAATAAATTTTTATTTTGATTAACCAATTGTTGACCAGACCATTTCGAAAATAGCGATAAATAATAACAAAAATACATTCCGATATATTTTTTAAATAACAAATTACACTATGCGTGGCTACTCTAATCGCTAGTTTATATTTCAAAAAAAACAAAGACATGATTTAAAAGTTTTATGATTCGATTTTACAATGGTTACACGATTTTTTATTACTATGAAATTTCTTAAATTGTACTAGCGAGTTTACCAGACGTACATGGAAAGATGTGAATAATGTGTTCCAGAATTTGATTGAACACAGTAGTACATTTACTTTGCAAAAATAATTTGTATGATAAATGAAGATGCTGAAATTTGTTATATTACCCTCTGTACTTTGATTAAATAACGAAATAAATTATGCAAATCCAGCAACTTATTAATCTTATTAAGCAATATGCTTATATTTCTAATGTTGATACTACAAATGAAAAATTGTCAAAACTCATTAAAGGCGGTCTTTCAAGTTTGCACATAATATGTGGTAAATGTTATAAACAACCTTTGTAATTAAATTAGAATATTAATTAATTAACTTTGCTTCTAGATTTTGATTGCACAATGACAAAATATATCACCTCAAAGGGCAAACGCAATCTTGGTTCACACCATATTCTATCAGCAAGTTCATGTTTAACACAGGAAGTTTGTATATTATAAAGTTATAATTTATCACAAAGATTTTGAATTAGAAATTTTATTATACTAATAAGTGAAATGGACAATGATCTATCTTCTTTCCCGAAAAAGTATAAAGCAGAGGTCAAAAGACTAAACGATTATTATTCTCCATTCGAAACGAATATGGAAATGACTAGTGCAGAAAAAACACCATATATGGTTGAATGGTTGATGAAAATTCACAAACTTATAATAGAACAAAATATTCATAAGGATAAGATAAACGAAATGGTGGCGGAAAATGATGTAGAAATGAGAGATGGATTGGATTTATTGGCTGAAAAATGCAAAGTTGGAAACGTACCATTCTTAATATTTTCAGCCGGGCTTGGCAGTAATTATTGTTTCTCTCTTTAATCAATATTTATCTGTTTTATTTTTAAATTTCAATTCTTACACGAAAATATTACATTCTAAGATATAATCGAGCAAGTCCTCATTTCAAAGAATCTTTTCCATCCCGACAACATGTACATCATCTCCAACAAAATGGGATTTAACAAAGAAACTGGAATATTCGATCACTTCAAAGAACCATTAATTCATACATTTAATAAAAGTGAAGTTATGATCAAAGATAGCCTCTATTATAATACAGTTAAGAATCGAGGTAACATCATTTTAATAGGTGATTCTATTGGCGACTTACAAATGGCTAGTGGAATCTCACATGATATTTGTCTATCAATTGGTTTTTATAACAAAAATGACAACTTTTTTGATAAATATCAAGAAATGTTTGATATTGTAGTGACTGATGATGGACCAATGAATGTCATAAATTATATTATGGACGCTATTATTAAAACATAATTTGTAAAGTAATTAGAAATCTACAATATTATAAAAAAAAATAGAATAACAATGAACAAAATTAGAAAAAATATATGTAAATATTAAGCAATATATTTTTTAAATTAATAATTAATAAATTTTATTGAATTTCTGATTATTTAAATTATTCAGTGACCTAAATTCTACTAGAGTGATGCAAACTCACCTTAAATTTAACCTGTGTAGAGACTAGAAAGTATATTGTTAAAATGAAAGAATTGTTGGCATTAAAAATCCGTTGAGAAGAAATTTGTTTCACGTAAGACATCAGATATATTATGATCAGACTTGACATCTACTATCCACAGTATGGGTTTGCTATAGAAGTACAAGGTAAGCAACATGAGCAACATATAAAACATTTCCACAAAAATGAGGAAGACTTGAGAAGCAATTAATACGCGATCAACTCAAGAACGAATTATGCGAAGAAAACTGGATTGTTTTAAGGTATGTTTGGTACTACGAAGACCCATATGTCGTTATTCCAGAGCATCTTCGAGAATTGGGTCTTATTGAGTAAACTTAAAACTTTAAATGTGCATTTTAAAATTGACTACATAAAAAATCATGTGCCTTATTTTTTCGTAAATAAAAAATCAAAATCTGATACATATATTTATTAATATACAAAGTTAAAGGAATTCCATCTTGTGACACTATACTCCCTTACCGCGACCTCTTGTACTTCCTCTTCCCCTTCCCCTATTCGTTTCTTTTGAGATTTTGGATAAAAAATTTTAAAATGTCATAGCTTTTGGCCGATCTGGTGAGAATCCGGTTGCATATTTAATTTTAGGTTTTGCAACAATTTCTTATACCACTCGATCTTTTTAATAATGTTGTATCGTAAACATAAGAGTGTTCGGATAAGTCTAGGTACGTGTTCTAAATTGATAGAGGAAGTTGGGATAGTAAGAGCTGGAATTGTAAACGGTGAAAATAAGTACAAGTCGGGTCCAATAAATATCAATTGGCCAATTTCGATTTTATCAGCTACAATCAAGTAAACAAGAAGTGTATTAGATTTGAAGTAAAAGAAACACCTGCAGGTTCAAAAATATTAAAAAAAATTTTACCAAATCCTTGAGCCAGGAAAACACTCAACGTTTCACATACTTTTCACGTTGGTAACTCAGTGCTTATTATAAACTTATTAAAAGCAAAAACACCCTCATCCATCAACTTCTTTCTGTCTCCATTAACCTTATCCAGATCTGGTTTATTAGGACCTTCTAATACCTCAAACAAAAATAATGGGATTTGTCTGGGTCACTCAAAAAATTCCAACACACCATCGGCTTTATAACCATTACTTGGGACGTCTATCTTTGTATCGATATCTCGTTCACATGAGAAATACTTCAATGAGTCAATAAAAGAAAATGTAAAAAAAAAATATATGCTAATACGTGAGCTATCTATTGTTGCAGTTGGCACAGAACAATACGCAAAGTTATGTCAATCAGTCTCACTAATTTCATGCTCTCGTTGCACCACAACTGTATAACCCAATGTACTTACGATTCTCTTGTATTGTACGTAATACTTCAAAATTCCTCTCTATTCACTGTTAGGATCAAGCCACCACTTGCCTAACACAGCGAATAACAATTTTCAACAACTCAATAAACTCAATAACTGGCACAAGTGCAACCTGAAGGTGTGTGAGCAAGTGAAGTAAAAGTATCTTTATATAGTAACTTTATTTGCGAAACAACAGTTTATTGAAATTTATTACAGAACTTAGCAATAGAAATATTACAGGCTGTTGACTGTTTCTATAACTATTACTAATTTTATCTATGATTAAGATTATCATAGTTATTGAATTATTGTAATTATTGTAATAATTGTAAAAAAGGAAGAAAATATGAAAATAAAGAATAAAATGTAATAGAGAAATAAAGTGATAAAAAAATAAAAGTGTTAAATCCCCGAAGCTTGCCAAAAGAATCCGTCCCTTTTCATCCTTTATCCACTGGTTATTTTATACCTTTCCAATTTTGTTTTTCTTTTTGTTATCACGTCTAAACACGTTTTTCCCCTTTCTTCGAGGATGGCACATAAAGATGAAAAGGATGATACACAAAGATGAAAAAGATGATACACAAAGATGAAAAAGATGACACACAAGGTGATCTGTTATCTGAGATGGTAGCATACTCATCCAGGTGTCACTGTCATCTTTCTATTCTCCCTCGTGACCTTTGTAACCTTCTGCAATTCTTGTGCAGCATTCCCCATGGCATTCGTACCATCTCAAACATTTCTTCCTTCAAAGGGGAGCTCCTGCGATCCCATCTCCATAATCTACAGATCATTTCTCACCTGTAGGTTCAACTCACTGTACATTCTCACCAGTCTCTTGAATTCTTGTCTTGAAAGTTTACAGATCCAATCGGAAGTTACCAGCTGGAGGTTCTTTGGTTATAACATCCCAACTTCTTGGATAAGTATTCTTATCCTCTGCACTATCTGGTAGGTTCGCGCCCCATTTTGATGAGAGTGCCCTTGTAACTCCTGCTTTATTGATGCAGCAGTTCAGTTCTTCTGGAAGGCATGGACATAACCTCCGAGTCTTCTATAAGCATTCACTTGTTGCTTCTTCAGAACAGCTAGATCCATAGCCACTGAAAGTAGCCCTGCTACGTCATGATTAAGCATAGCTCTTGTCAGGTCATGCATTTCTGCTGGTGCGACTACCACATCCAAGGTATCTGGGAGCAGTATGTCATTCTCTTGTGGTGCTCCTTCATTACTCGAGAGTTCTACCAGGTTTATTTTGTACCTTTCTACCAGGTTTATCTCGCATCCTTCCACCATCAAATATGCTTCAGTGCCGTCTATCATGAGTTGTACCTCTCTGGAAATTTCGTTTAGTTCTCTACGCAATTTGTTAACTCGCTCAAGAAAGCTTTCAGGAAATTGTAGGTGGGTCATGTTGAATATTTCAGTAGTGGCGAGGAAAATTTCATGCTTTGTTCTTAAATTCAGGTATTCTCATGCACAGTTATTATCTCCTGTCATCTCACGTGAGATGAAACCTCCTTTGTTTGTAAGACTTTAAACGGCTCCTGTGTACAGGTCGATCGTTACGTATTTCTTCACTTATGGTTTGTAATATGTACGATCCATTGCCCAGGACACGATGGATGAAGTAAAGTCCCGTCCACCTGTTTCGAAACTTGTCGCCGTGTACGTTTTGTAGATCTGAATGATATTCCAGTACTATATTGCCAATTTTATACATCATTACTCTAATCCCCCCTATCGTAGACTCTCTTCTGTCTTGCTTGGGTATCTTTTATGTTTCCGGCGGCCTTGATTTTATTGTTTGCAAATGTCCCTATAATTTCGCTAACCCTTCTATTTATCAGGTCCTCATACTGATTTTTGTCAATTTCCGTAACTGGCCAAGTGACGACGTCAAGTTCTATGGGTAAGGTAGGGGCACGACCATAAAGTAAATAAAAGGGTTCATATTTTGTTGTTCTGTTCTTGATGGTTCGATATGCAAAAAGTGCCAGAAGTATCAACACGTCCCAGTCATATACTGTTTCTCCAACATATTTCATCAGGACTCTGCACAATGTCTGATTAAACTGCTCTGTTAATCCGTTAGTTTGTGGGTGGTATGCAGACATAAGTCTATGATGTGCTTCTATTATATCCACCAGGTTGGTTACTACCTAACTGATGAATACCATTCCTCTATCGAACAGTATTTCTCGCGGACATCTGTGACGGCATATAATCTTGTCATATAGGAACCATGCGACTGTTATCACATCCGCTTTTTCTATTGCCCTCGCTTCTGGCCACTTGGAGAAATAGTCTGTAGCTACTATGATATATCTTTTCATTGTGGACGTCAGTTTCAAAGGTTCCACAATATCTATCCCTAACTGATCAAACCCTTGTTCTACTTTGATAGGTCGTAATTCTTTGATTCTTGTAGGTTTGCCTTGGCATAGGCACACGTCGCAAGTCTCTACATAGTTCCTTACATCTGTACCTATCGTGAGCCAGAAATATCGCTACCTTGTTCTGTCTATTGTCAATTTTATGCTGAAATGTCTTGCATTCGGCACACTATGTATGTTGTATAATATTTTTGTTACGTTATCCTTCAATATTACCTACAATAGGCTACCATCCTTGTTTCGCTTGAACAATAAATTGTCTTGTACGATGTAATGATTCGCTTGTTGCCGTAATTGTCGTCGTTGCTCGCTTATCCAATTTTGAGGGAAAGTGTAATTAATTAAATATTCGATTATTTGATTGTAATTATTCGTATCCATTTCTGAAAGGTTTTGCAATCTTGCTGCGTATTCGAGTTCCTGTGTATTTTGTCTTGCTTAATACTTAATGCGGGATAAAGCGTCTGCATTGGTGTTGTTATGGGTATTATTGTTAACATCCATTCAACGGTTCTTTTAAGGAGTTTATAGTTCTTCCCCATAAGTACAAGACTTTCAATTTGGTTGTTCCTTAAATTTTAGAAGGTACCAGTTAGTTTTTAGATAGAACTAACAAACTAATATATATTGATACTATATATCACACCGATACTACACAAAAATGTATAAAATGTATAAAATGTATAAAATGTATAAAATGTATACCCAAGAGCTGGAATATAATAAAGAAACAATTACCGCTAAGCAATTATTCAAACTAGCTGGGCGTTCGAGGAAACCAAAAATATATAACCCCAAAACGAATCGTATAATTGCAATCGATGGACCAATATATAATAAATTGATACGTGGTGGATATGTGCATTGGGAAGAAGAAGGACTCTTGATTCCACCATCACCATTCGAAAATTATATTAACGGAGCAAGCACAAGGTACTAAGAAATAAAAATAAAATACTATACATCATGACTTGTAAAGTCGCCCCTAAGGGCCTGATTATAGCCTAAGTCTTCACAACTCGAAGCTATAAATTTTTTCGTTATATTCTATGTATTGATAAATTTCAAATCAACAGATGTGTACTATATACCTGATATATATCAATTATTTTTTCGAGGATTTCCTTAAGCGAAGCTATATCCTCCTTGATGCCTGCTATATTTTACACAATCTTATTTCGCAGAGCTACGGATTCCATAATCTTTAGCCGAACTCGTGCCTTATTCACATCTATTTTCTGATAGAATTACATTAACCACGACCCATTCAATTTTTAGGCATAGCTATACTGACCCGAGATAATTAATTTCGATTTGAAAAAATATATTTTATGGTGTATACAACCTAAAGAATTGTTCATAACCTACTCGACTTACTATAACATTCAACCATGTTAGCTATCGCAACAAAAATCGTTGAGAAATACAATCTCAGCTCCAAAACTGACCCATCTGAACTTAGTCAATATACCTCTGAGTTTCTCAAAAACCTTACGGATGATAGAAAAAGGGGTCAAGCACGAAGACGTCTTCGGGATGGCTTTAAATTTAGTAGTGAGCAGGTAAGTATATTGATACCTAATCAGAGAAACGGGGTTAATAAAACTATAAATATCGTCAAAGATAGTTGCAGAATAGCTATAGCTTTACCTCCAAAAAATTTGGAAGAAGAGATTATCAGAGAGATAGCAAAACGAATCTTGCAGAATAGATATGGGTTTAGTGAGAATCAAATAAATGCATTATTCTCTATCCAGAAAAATGAAAATAAGACCAAGCAGAACGTGCCCTGTTCTACAGTAAACATTGTTATTTCTAATCAGGTCCTACAAGAAACTATTGGAGAAATGACACATCAGTTTTTACAAGATAAGCTTAGTATTAGGGATATAAGAGCTGAAATTTATGCCTTAACCCTATCAGTATTAAATGCCAATGCTGGTTCATCACATCATTCACGGCTTCGGAGAGAATTAAGAAATATTGGTATTTAACCTCAGATTATCGAGGCCACGAAATTTTCAGATATTACAGAAGATGCTAACAAAATTCAAATAGACAATCAGAAAAAGGCTAAAACCATTGATTATCCAGATGAATTTACATTAGAATCAGTCAAAGAAAGATTAGATGCGTATGATTTAAAAACCTCACCCAATTATCAAGCTCTTGTTGATGTTATGGTGATGCTTTGTATTCACCCTGTTGAACTTATAACTTTACGTATTACAGATGCTGGAGTAACAGGTTATGCAAAGAACAGGGGTTAACCAGATATCCCTAGAAAATTTAGATCTATGGAAAAGAATCAAGAACGAGCCAAAGAATTACTAACCTGAATACAGAATGCTATATCTTCTGATCGAATGGGGGACCCAGGTAAGCCAGGAGCTAAATGGTTCAATAGATTTTTAAAAGGTTATGATTTAGTTCCTAAATACTTATGTAAATTAGGAGCAGTTTATACTGTAGTAACGAATGGAGCGAAAAATATAGCCCATGCTTATACAATTACTGGGGAAGCCCTACGCCACAGCTCTGATAACCATGCTTCTCCAGTACAAAATTATGTTGTAGTAAATTATCGCAGAAAAAATCAATCTCCAGATCAGGTGAGACCATTTCAAATCTATGATACAGATTAATAGATTAGTAATTAAACAAATCAATCTTTATTGTGTATTGTATATTCCCAACGATACCCTCCAGCTTGAGATCTAATACCTTGACATACTGCACCAATATTTTGACTTTTGATTCCAGTTATATGCTCTGCCTCTTTTAATGAAAGAAATTCTTGAGTAATTCCATTATCAGAAATTTGCTTAACTGTACGTTTGTAACCATTCCAAAGTTCAAGACATACAGCATGTTGCATATTTTCTTTTTGTGTACACCATTCAAGATTCGAAACTCTATTATTAGTGGAGATTCCATCAATATGGTTTATATAATTTTTACCTTGCTCTTTCAGACAAAAGACCGTTGCTACTAAACGATGAACTATATATTTTTGATATCTACTACTGACCCGAAAATACCTTCCACTTAATGAGCCTTGTGTAATTATACCATTTAATAATTTGACTCTACCTAAAGAGGATACTTGAATTTTTTGCGAATCAAATTCTATTTCTTTCCATTCTTCATTAGGATCAGATTGTATATAATCATCATAATACATCCAAGCCCATCTACCAACCATATTTCATTTTCCTCTACAACACGTGGCAATATTTCTTCTACTAATATTAAGTGTAATACCTGTGAGTTTTGCCAAATCCCAAATCTGAATAATATATCCATTTAATATTTTTTGCACAAGTTTTCGAGATCTTCCATGACCAGCAGAATTGAAAAATATTTTGCGATTGGCATTCTCTTTGGGAGTCACTCATTCCAGATTATTCACCCAATTATCAGTTTTGATACCGTTAATGTGGTTAACAAAATATTTATTCTTCAGATTTGGGATAAATGCTTCTGCAACTAGTCTATGAATATTAATAGATCCATAAATATTATTTCTACTAATATTTGTTACTGCATAACCATGTCCTTTATGGATACTTCCTTTTGAAATTCTACCATTTTTATTTTTGATATGTTCAAGATTAGAAATAAAGTAATCCGAATTTGCTATAGGTAATCAAATCTCCATTTCGATATTTACTATATTGTATTGGTTTATTTTTAAATTCAGATTGCGCTTCATGGGATCATTACCTATATCAGAAAAAAAGACAGCCCCAGACCGTTTCATTTTTATGATGAGAATTAATTATTGATCTATATACTTACTAATCATGCTTCTTTGCTTCGAGAGTTTGCATACGTATTTCACTCTCATCGATGCTAGAATAATCAGAGTCAGAGTCAGATACGGATGAAGACGGAGGATCGCTAAGAATGATCTTTTTTTTGACTATCTTGCATCATTGTTTAGTAATACTTAAGTTTGCTATCGAGTTTATAATATCCTGATGAATCTCAGGTTTAACTATCTCCAGTAATTGGCAGAGAGAAATCTGGATTTTTTTATTCTCTACTTGTCTACGAATACTGGATATCGCCATGATAGTATTCTGTTGCTCTGTTAAAGACTTGATTACCATTTTGATATTTTCACGTAATTCTTGGTACAAGATAGGATTGGCCATGTCAGCTCTGCTGATATTATCTTTAACAATTGTTTCTTTTGTAACAGGCTTGATATTATCTTCAGTCATTGTAAATAAGGAATTATTTATTAATACGAAGTAAAAAATACATTATATATATATATATTCTTAAAATAAACAATGCGAGGATCTTTTTCAGATTATGGTTCAAAGGATACTATTAATTAATTGGGATCATATTCAAATTTTCCAGTTTTCAAACCCGAAGAGTTTAAAGATATTCCACCGCCTATACAACTTGATAAGTCTGTGGATGAATACTTCAATCAAATAAAGTTATATGCTACGGTATTGGATATCGACTTAGATAACCAAGACCTTAAGAAAAAATTCTTCAATGGTCTATTACTAGAAAATAAAAAAGATATGATCCAGTTCGGATTTAAAAAACTTCTGAATGTAATAGTTGATCACTTGAATAGAATTTCATCAGGACCCGCCAATATGCAAAAGTTTCAATTTGGAGGTTTAAGACAAGATAGTGAATCAATAATAGAATATTACAGGAAAGTAGAAAAATGTGACAAATTAGCCAAATACAATGGAGAACAGCTTAGATATTTCTTTCTTCGTGAATTGTCACCCGATAATCAGATAGAAGCCAGAAGATGCGAATTAGAGCTTCCATTGGATAAGCTAATAGAGAGGTTAAGCACATTGGAAAGACTTACCAGATAAGTAAGAAAATGCATAATTATCTGAACATGTGTCTTTTTTCTGATTAAAGATATATAATAATATACAACTTAAGAATGACGCAGCTATTGCGGAACAGACCGTTAGGCAATTCAAAGAATCATGACACTTTGGGTCTAAATATTTTTAATTTACCAGAATTGCTAGAACAGATCTTATATTTTTTAGAAATCGATCGATCCCTCTATCCTGCTTTATTTGTTAACCGCCTTTGGTATCACTGCAGTGTACCTATTCTATAACGTCGCGTTGAGTTTTTTACAGAAAATGATTATAAGAGGAGTTGGCATGGTCGAAAGATACCTCGAACTCTTATCTGGCAATTGATAAATTTTAAAAAAGTTATGTGTGGAAAAATAAAACTAACCTATTGCTTTAAAATGGTATATCTCAGATTAAAAGGTTTGAAAATCTCAGATGTATTGATTAGTACGATTCTATGCTCATACCCAGATATATGTACTCTCATTCTTGATTGAAGTGTTGGTTTTTCTAATATACCTATTATAGAAATTACGAGATTTTGTTTGAAACTACAGCATCTGAGTCTTAATTCATGTATATGTCTTACTAATCGATATATCACTGAAATTGCTTGCTCATGTTTAAAACTTAGACATCTTGAGCTTAGTAATTGTTCAATTGGTAATAAAGCTGTTGAGAAAATAGCTCGCAAATGTACTAATTTGAAATATCTTAGTTTGGAGAGATGTGTAGGGATTAGCGAAGAAGTGATGAAAAAACTTAATTCTAAAATTAGCGTGAGCAAGCTTTCAGCTAAAATCGAATATCCAGATACTGATTCTGATGATAAATTCTCAGATTCTGATCTACCTCCACTTATTCCAGATCCATTAAGGATATGTCAAAGCGTTATCTTTACCGGTAGACCTAATAGAATAGTTTTAACCAATACATTAACTGTAACAGATCTTATTTCTGCAATTAGAGTATCATCAGAATTGACTGATTCAAAATGAATTAATTTATTAAATAGTCTTGCTTGAGCTACTCATCATTCATGACAAGGGCTTTAGAATGGATAAATATTTATTGTTAACTTTTTTTCGGCAAAGATATATAATATAAAATATAAATTATTATCATGAAAGCGAAAATAATCAAAGCTAAAGTAGAGGGTCAAAAAGTTAATTGTCATTTTGAACCAGGTTTTCTTGGACTATCTATATGTACTGATAAACTCCTCAAGAGAATCGGTGATAAAATTAGCAAAAAGTTGACTCTCAAAGAAAAAGATAGTAAATTCGTTAGAGAAGAAACTACAGCCCCACTTGGGTTAGCCGTAATCCCACTTACCTTCACCTCTAATATAAAAAATAATGCTCAACTTAATAATAAAAAATTTATTACCATACCAACCGAAGTGCTAGTTGAAAAATATAACTCTAAATTACCTAATTATATATTACTTGGTAATAATTGGTTTTATGGTCACAAATATGATGATAATGAGCTTCAAATATACATACCTGAAATTGTAACCAATGTTTGGACAAGAACAACTCTCCGTATTAAAAATCTCGTCAATAAGAAAAGGAGAAGGGTTATAGTGTATGTTACTAAAAATAATGTTGATAAATTCTACGAATTCACTTCTTCTTACTCTAATTCTGATACTTCCGATATAAGTGGTTCTTCCACATCTAGTTCAGAATCGGATGATAAGCACGTGTGTAAGGCCGGTATATACCCGAAATAGTGTCGCAGGGTAAAAAAGAAAAATTAATTATCAAGTTATATAAAGCGATATCACATAATATTTTTTCGTTTAATGAATTATATTTACCTAATGTAGGAAAACAAGTCAACCTATCTATCTGCTATATTTATTTTTTTTCAGCTAGCTACATTGATTAAACAAAGATATTAATCGATATCGACATCAAATAGACCATAAGTTTCAAAATTTTTTTATACAGAATATAAAATAACTCTATTAACTTAAGAAAATTTTTATCAGGTAAAGGTGATAAAGGCTCTATTTCCTTATTCAGAATAGAACTTGTATCTTGAATATGAATTATTATTCGTGATTTAAAAAAACTCTTTCCCAAAAAATTTAATTTTATTAAAATACACAGTAAAATTATTTCGAAATTGTTTTTTATTTTTTTAGTTTTTATTTCATTAGTTTTCAGTAAACTAACTGACAAGTATGAGCAATAGCTCATTCGTTAGAACTAGAAGGAAAGGTGTCAACTATGGCACCACTTCTAGAAACTTAACACAAGATAAAAATAAATTTGATCCTATTGGCAATAAGCAAATTCTTAAAAAACAGAATACAAAAAATAAATTGAAAGAATCCTCTGAGGAAGAAAATGACGATGCTATAGCCTCGGGCAGTAATTCAATCCCCCAAGTAGTTATCTCAAATAACGAAATTACAGAAAATGAACCTGAATCATATGAACAAGTTATTGACATGGAAGAAGAAACAGATACGGGTGCGAACAACTTTCAAGTAATTGGAGGTAACCTTGAAGAATCTAAACATAATAAAGAAAGTGAATGGCAAGAAGTCAGGAGGAAGGGGAAAAATAAGGCCAAAGATAATAATAATAATAATGACGAAGAAGATAGCAAGTCAGTATCATCCTATAATTCAGATAGCGACTTCCAAACGAAATGGAGGAAAATCACTCAAACTCCCAAGTATAAAATTTGGACATATGCGACTAAGATAATGGGGAAAAACCTCGGTGATAAAATCGATAAAATTAGACAAATCTTGAAAAAAGAATCTGATGTTGTCCTGGTAAAATCTGAAATTTTTGAGAACAATAGAATGATTGCAGCCTATTATGACAACAAAGAAGAAATGGAAAAGGGAAACAAAGCTAATGTGGGCAACGATGCAGACCAGCCTACTTACATGCATAGAGCACAGATCTTTAAAAGGAATCCTGAAAGAGATCTCATGCATGGAGTCAAATTGTGGGACATACCTATACATATGACTAACAAAGAAATTAAAACTGAGTTAGAATTTAATTTTGGTATAATTGAAAGAATGAATGTAAGGACTAATAACATGTGGCAATCTGCAGTAGTCTTCTTTAAAGAAGAAGAAGTGGCGAAAAAGGTTCTTGAAAATTGGAGCATTATTATTGGGGAAGACTCAATTAGAGTAACACAAATAGATCAAACAATTGATTATCTTAAGTCACGTGGAGAAAATGCAGCCAGAGTAATTGGCCTTCCTTATGGTATGACAGGTAGAGAATTATTTCCCAAAGTTAAACAAATTGGTGCAAAAACGTGTTATATGCCACGTACTAGACAGAATAGACGGAAAAACGAAGCAATCATCTCGTTCGCAACAAAGGAGGATTTAGACAAAGCTTTCACTTTTAAGTGGGAAACAGAAGCGTTTAAAATCGAGATTATTGACTTAACAATCAAAACATGCCACAGATGTAAATCGACGGAACATTTGGCAGCAGCATGCCAAAGAACACTCAGGGACAAAGAATTTAAGATCAAATCAGCTGAGAGGTTAGAAAAATTCGGTCCAATGTATAAAAAACATAACCCAAAGTATTTTAATATCCTCAGCAAACAAGTTAGTGGGAAAACATACGCAGAAGCTACAAAAAATAAAACAAGTAAAATTTATAACACCAAACCATCAGAATCTGAAAATGTTAGATTAGATAGAATTGAAAAACTACTATTAGAAATTTCCAATCGTCTAGATAATTTAGAATCACACG